TGAGCAGTGCAATGTGCTTTTTTAGATGAACTCTTTATTCAAAAATTTGCAGTGAAATAATTAGAGTTTTAAATGCTGCTGTTTACTTTGAGCTATAAAACCGCAGTGACTTCATATAATTACACGTCAACCAGTATTTGTGTCTTCTACAATATTTGAGCATTACCTTTCATGATAGTACTTCCCAAACAGAACCATTGATTCATGCCTGAGTGATCATTGCTGTGGCCACAGAAATGACACAACCCTGCACTCCTGATAGTGTTAAAACTCATGCTACTTCCTGCTTGTGTTTTACTGTATGATAGAATTTGCTTCAGATTTATACAGCCACAAACTTAGTCCCCTTGTATTAGCTTTGAGGACTCCACTGGAGGGAATGTCTTGTATACATTTGTAGCAAACTTGCTAATGGGCAACTACATGGAATGGGCTCAGTTACATTTAATTCGAATATATATTTGAAAACATTTTAGGATTTTCCCCCCATTGCCACATGAATGGGTTCTTAGTGATGTGAGTAATTTGATTTAAGAATACATTTTGAAAATTAGGAAGGAAATAGATTTCTGTATTTTTCATTATTGCATATATTCCAGGAGTCTCAGGGAAGTAAGTGGCTTGATTTTTTTCAGGGATTTTAAACCCACATTTCCCGACATCACTGGGAATGGTGGTGCTTGGCACTTTATGAATTTAGACCACAAGTCCATTAGACATAGAGATGTTGTTTCAAGAAATATGCCAGTTGCAGATGTTGCCTTCCAGCTAACTCTACCACCAGATAATCAGATGCTTCTAAGCCCTCTAAAAACAAGTGTACTCATTACAATAAAACCTGATAAACTCACAGTATTGTGTAATTAACTTTTGACTGGAGAAAAAATTTGAATTTCCCTCTGTGCTTCATGGTTACATCGCAACTTTATCAGAAGTTTACATAAACAAGGCAAACTAAGTCTGACTGTTAACATACATAGAAAAAATAATCTTTCATTGGTAGACAAATATGCAACCCTTAATTTTAATTGTCCATACCCAAATAAACACATCACATAGGGAGGTAGAATGACAGCTTTCCTAGTCAGGTAAATATGCCAGCTGTTTGGCATTTCATATTTATGTGATGTATATTATTTACTCTCTACCCGGTGATCTAGCACTGATTCTGTGTCCCATGACTTCAAACCTTATTTTAAATCTTTCAAAACTAGAAAGGTAAAACAAGCATTCTCTCACTCTCAAGTGCATGGTTGACTGGTTCTTGCTCACATGCTCAGGGTCTAACTGATAGGCATATGTGGGTGAGGTCAGACAGGAATTTCCACCAGGTCAGATTGGCAGTGACCTTAGGGATGTGGGGGGAGAGGTTTGCCTTCCTCTGCAGCATGTGGGTATGGGGCACTTGCCAGGATTATCTCAATCATTTTACTGCCATTGTAGGCGTCTCAGGCAATAGTGCATGTCAGTCCCTTCTATTTTCTCACTGTGGTGCATAGTACTTTAGTGTCCTGTGGGCTGTAATACTTAGGTCTAATTTCAGTTGTTGAGGTAGTGTGGGAGTACGGGGTGGTGTTGGTGGCCTATGATATAGATGACTTGGTGGTCCCTTCTGCCCTTACGCTTTATGATTCTGATTTGAATTATTTATTACATTTGCCCAAGATCTAACGAGTCTAACATCAGATTATACTTTCTAATTTTAAGGCACAACAGGTTCTTTTAAGGCTTGCAGGACACAAGGCTGTGAAAGAAGTAGATGATGTTTTGACATTTTTATTAATAGTTCCAATTCCGCTTTCATTCTCTATCTTTTCCTGATGGATGTTTATTTTCCCAGCATTTACCCTTCTGATATTTTATTGTTCTCATGTTTTGTTTTTTAATGTGTAGACCTCCCTTCTATAGTGGCGCCCCTCTGCATTGTTTGCACTGTGCTGAATCGACGTTGATCGTTCTGAATGAAGTTACTCGCTCAGTTTTACATAAAATTGTTTGGCCGCTGCCTAGTTTAACAGTAGCAGAAAATGCAGCTTTGCTAGAGAATAAGAGGTTTGCCAAGGGTGCTATAGAGCTAGCTGCTTCTAACCTAAGAAGCCTGCTAACAAATGGAAGGTACTGGAGTATACAAGAGACTTTTGGGATTCAGGGCTGTGACACCCTATTTAACAGGCTTTACTCACCTACGGTGAGAAAAATATCATTGTGGGTTGGGCATCGAAATCTATATTTAACTGAATGCTTCACGTGGCAGGGATGAGGTCAGAAGCTAAAGCAGCACTCTCACATACCATATAATTTTGGGCAAGGCTTATCCACATCACCAGAGCTCACACTTTTCAAATACGGAACATTCATCAGGAAACTCCTATTTAACCCTTTGGGGGACTGTCCTTAAATGACAAGTAAGAGTGTTATGCCACGAGAGCAGCTTTCCAGCAACAAAGCGCAGTGGTTGGGGGCTGTTCAAAGTTGGTTTTAAAAAAACATGGTAAGTGATAGGCTATGTTTTTTAAAAGAAATGTAAAGTACTTTCAGCGATGGTTCTTCTAACAAAACCACTGCCCCTTCATTGGTCTTTCTCTAAAATACTGCCTTTTCTGTGCCATGAGCACAAATATAACTGAACTTTAGTTTTCTCTTGCATTCTGTTTTGTTTTAACTTCCAAACAAGTGTGTCACTATCATAAAAACTTTTTTGCACCATGAGCCGCAATCAGGCTAAAATCTTTTCCTGGGAAGAATGCTTAGGCTAAAGACTGACTTGTTTCATGTCTGCCTGCACCTATCACTGTGTGTCTGGAACAATCTGCTGTTGTATGCATGCGTGCGCAAACAGCAGTGCAGCAATCCTGACAGATTGCAGCATTTGGCCTCAATTGTGGCTGTGCCCTTTGACGCAAGGACCCCTTCTTTCTGCTGTCACTGTGGTGGTGCAGAACTCATGGCTTGTCTGCTCACTGGGCACACCTAAACAAATCTCTTAGCAGAGGATTCAACAGTGGGGGGAGGGGCGGATACAGTAAATACAGAGCTTCATTAACTCTTTAGTGACATCTGAAACAGAAGTCTGTACTCTGGTGTTCTTCCACTATACATGTTAGCAGCATGATAGGTATAATAACTGAGATGACATTGAATCTAAGCCCTTGTTTCTCAGGCATTTAACCCTCGGAACTGAAATTCCTTTTGCTTGTTCTGACTGAGAAATAGCTGTTTATTTTTTAAACATTTGGGAAAATTGCATTTAACCTTGATTTTTTTTAAATTGGTCAGATAATTATTAAGAAACAACCCCTTTTTTATTTGTTTATATCACCACAAACTCTCTCCAGACTTGTTGGTATTTTTGTATTTGGTATTTAATTCAGCTTCTAGATCACTGAGTTTGCCATTCTTACACCTAAAGCTGGTAGCTTAGTCCTAGGTCCCATTCCTTGGGAAAGAGACCATGCTTTTTTTGTTTTGGTTTGGTTTTTTTGTGCTTCATTTTGGTATCACCTCTTAACTCCAATGATTAGGAAACGTTTTGGATAAAGGGCATTGTGTTAAAGATTCAACTCACCTGTCCTGTTAGCATGTAAGATCTTCTAATAAACTTCTAAGGTCCTCCATCAAATCTTGACATTCCTGATACTGCTAATAAATAAAAATACCCTTTGGGGCCTTCTTTGTATAACGTATAAACAAAGGGTGCAAACCCAATTTAAAAAACAAAACAAACTTTTGCAGGTCAGCATTAACCTTGTTCATTGTGAATCTTCCCTGATCAGCTATTTCTATTCCTTATGTGAAGTTCCTCTTACCATGTGTCTTTGAATGTATGATTTCTAGAGTTCTGACTGCACAGCCAAGTATATTTTTCTCTTCCTTCTGAAGGAAGTGTAACCATTCCCCCTCCACACACACACACAAAAACCACCACACCGGCACATCAGTGGAAACACTTGATGATGCAAAGTCAGGAAACTCCAAGATGCACTTTTCATGAGGCCCTTACACAAGGGCCAAGTACTGGTTGCTATGAAAACGGTCACCTGACATTTCCTGTGTTGCATATAAACTTAATATATAACATTGTGTATCCCAGCAAAATGACTCAGCTTATTTGGTAGTGGTTGTTTTTGGACTGGTCCCTAAATAGAGACCGGGAATAAAATGATTGTAAATAAATCAGTGCATGAAAAAGATAAGGGATGAGGTTGAGAAAGGAAGTTTGCCTCCCCTGTTATGCTCCTGTCTGAGACATATTCATTAGCCAGGTGGAGAGTGAAAACTCTTGCTTAATCCATTTTCTTTTGAATTATAGATATACATATTGTGGAGGGCTTATAGCTGTCAGTGTAGAAACTGCTCTGGCTTGTCTCACAGCTGTGACAACGGTGATATTCAGGTTCTTGGCTGAAAGGGAAAAGCTTTCCCATTAAGGGACTGTTGCTGTGTAAGGGTGAAGAAAAATGTGCTTTGTTTAAGGAATGTTGAATTTGCTATAAGAATGTAAAGGTGCACTTTCTGGTTTAAAACAAATAAATACATGTCCTTACCTGTGTGGCTCAGGGACTATTAAAACAGAGAGCTTTAAACAAAAATCTCACTTATTAGGCTTTCACCTTACTTGTATGGTGAAAATAGTCAGTTTCACTCTCTTTGATTCTCATGCAGTGGCAGTGAGACTGCAAACATTTAAATTAAAATAAAATCTTTCATTGAATGGGACACAAATTCTAGTAATGCTGCACTTTCTAAGAGTGTGTTCTAATAGAATATTCGTGTTTATCTAAGGGCTTGCAATTCCCATTTAAAAGCATATGAAGCAGGAATCGATTTGGGAGTAAAATAAAGCTCAGCTCTGAATCCAGAGCACTTAAAAATATATAATGTAAAATTTAGAATGAAATGAGGGCTCTTACTGATTCTGCATTTTGCAGTTCACAGCTGGGAGCTTTAGAACATTAAATCTGGATGTATATCTTGATGGCCTATATTTTGTCTCCTTCCAGTACGCCACTACAGGCTGTTCCCTGACACTCCACCATACAGAAAAGCCGGAGCATGAAGACATCTGTGAATACCGTCCCTACTCCTGTCCATGTCCTGGTGCCTCCTGTAAATGGCAGGGCTCTTTGGAAGCCGTGATGTCCCACCTCATGCACGCCCACAAAAGCATTACCACCCTTCAGGGAGAAGACATAGTCTTTCTCGCCACGGACATTAACCTGCCAGGAGCTGTCGACTGGGTCATGATGCAATCTTGCTTTGGTCACCATTTCATGCTGGTGTTGGAGAAACAGGAGAAGTACGAGGGTCACCAGCAGTTTTTTGCTATTGTGTTGCTCATTGGCACTCGCAAACAAGCAGAGAACTTTGCATACCGACTGGAGCTGAATGGTAACCGGCGCAGGCTGACCTGGGAGGCAACGCCCCGCTCTATTCACGATGGGGTGGCTGCTGCCATCATGAACAGCGACTGTCTAGTTTTCGATACAGCTATAGCACATCTTTTTGCAGACAATGGAAATCTTGGCATCAATGTGACTATTTCTACGTGTTGTCCGTGATTATATCCGTGTCGTAAGTGAAACCGAGGGTTGTCTGGGCATAGTGCTTTACATTCTTAAGGGTTTTTTAAAATGATCTTCAACTATGTCTTCATATATATCTCTTAGGATTCCTAATTTAGCCAACATTTTGTAACAACTTTCTCTTTGGGTTTTAAGTCATGGCTAACCAGACAAGATGAGCGAGTGTCCTGTCAATAATCCGAACAGGAAAAGGGTTTTTTTAGAATTCTTGGATGCTTTTTGAAGATTTTTTACCACTTTTTAAAAACAACAGAGCTTCCATTAGACATATGTCTTTAATAGACTTAAGGGTCTATTTTTCTCTTTGAAGTGCACCCAAAGCTTCCCTTAAGAGGAGTTATCCAAGGGGAAAACAGGCACCTCTTGACTTACTCCCCTGTTGGGCTTTTAAAAAGAGAATAAACAAATAGCTTCAAGTGTGGTACCCATGAGAGGTTATTGTGACTCAGAGAGGAACAAAAGGTACTTTGGTATAGGTTCCCTTGCTGCTCTGATTCCCTCTTCTTTATTTAAAAAAAAAAAAAAGAAGGAAAGAAAAGAAAAGAAAAAAACAGTTGTGTTGGCTCACTTGCTGTGTCTTTAAAAATGAACCAGGCCTGATCCTGCAAAGTGTTGAGCATCTTCTGCTCCCATTCACTTTGTTTAAAGTTGAGTATGCCTGGAACATTTTACAAGGGCCCTGGATCAGGTGCTAATAAAGCAAGAGGCGCATATCTAATAGTTCTCAAACAGCTAGAAATTGATCATATAGCGGTGCATTCAGGTTGTTTACATATGGCTTCCCTTGGAGACATACTTGATTATTGATATTGTCAGAGACTGATTAGAATAATATAGTGAAAGCTTTATGGCCAGTGTCATGTCATTTGCTATTTAAGTTTTTGTTGCCATATTTACTTTAGTTTTTTAATAAACATTTTGCAAAAACAACATTGTGTGGCGTGTTTAATTGATGGAGGTGCCCACATATCATTAAAGTTTAATTGTGTGAATTTATGGTGGCAGCTGTTGTTTTCAAGATGTTTTACTCTCTGTACATGTAAATTTTCCCTTGTGCTACTGTGAATTGAGACTACATCCTCGCTCTTAACTGTCATTTACATCAACTTTTAATCTGAATCAAATCAAAGGAAAGGATACCACATTATGGCCTGATTCTGTAAGCTCTCCACAGGCAGAACTTCCATAGACATCAGTGAGAGTTCCACATGTAGAAGGTTTGCAGGATTGGGACTACAGTTTTATTATCCAGTTAGGTTACATAGAGAAAAAACAGAAAATAAGCAGATTTAGGTCTTTACACATGCTGCTTCTTCCTCCAGAAAGGGTCTGAGATCTAGCAAATCACCTTCTTAGAGAATAGTAGAAATCTAGCTTCCCTCTAATAGCATAGCAGTGTCTGTGACCATATAGGACAATATACTCTGTGCTCCAAAATGGAAGAAGAATCTGATATTCCAGGCCAAATGTTTCCTTCCTTTCGGTGATCTAGTTCATATGGGGAGGGAGGCCCCTGTACAACTTCTTGAGAATGTAAGATTGTACTCCCAAATACTTGCCCGCATTATAATCCACCAGAACCAATAGTAGGAAATGGATTAGTTTGTTTTGTGGTTGAGGGTTTGTGAGATCATGCAAAGAACTCCCTGGAACTATTATCTAATGACACGCTATAGTTCAAGATCCTGTTGGTGGATCTCACTAGCATAACTCCAATGACTTCCACTGAGTGAACTCCTGATTTACACTGGTGTCGCAAGATCAGACTTAGGCTTTGGGTCTTCAGAAGGTAATGCCTATGCTCTGCGTAGGACCAGTTAATCAAGAATTGTCAAGAGCAATTCACATTCCAATAGCCTAGCAATGCTTACAATGAAAAATGACAAGTTTTCCAAATTTTGCCACAGAAGGCCTTTCATTTAAGCATGACAGAATCACAACATTAATTTAAACAGAACTAAAATGTAAAGTGAAAACGAAGTCCTGGTTCATAACAGTATTCATGAATCCAGATTACATTTCCCTAATACTGTTTGTAAGTCGCCCTGCACAATTCATGTTAGATGATTTAACACCTATGAAGGAGAAATGAAGGTTCACTGGAATTAAGTTTATTTTATTCAGACTTGGTATACCAATTTACTCACATAGTTAAGACCTGAGACAACATTTAGTTCTTGTTAAATTAGTTGTGGGGGAGGTCCTTTCACTCTGGATTTTACAGTGCCTGGTTTTGCTGTATCTATTGCTTTGAATACAGAATATGTAACCCCTGCTGCCAAGAAGTTAGAAGTGTAATCCATTTAGACAATAAACTCGGGTAGTTGATACTTGATCCAAAAATCAGATTAACTTCTTAAGGAAGCAAACCTGAAACATATTCTTGGAGACCGTTTTACCAGTGTGACTCTCTGATGGCTATAGCTCAGGGTTACAAAAAGAACACACTAGCCATGCAGTAGTGCATCAAGGAAAAAGAAAGTAGCACAGGTGCAAGGTCATGTCCTGTTCTGGAGTATATTGGATAACCCCACGGAAGCCAAGTGAACTTTTTATTAAAGAAGTGACTGATAAGAAGAGAAGCCATGTAGTATGGAATTGGAAACAAGTCCTAGAATCACATCTTAGGGACGTCTCTGAACATACTTCTTGTCTATCCAGCATTTTGACAACTGACAGAGAAATACTTTACAGACCAACAAAACTGGTCACACTTGCTTCTCTGCTATGGCATATTCCTACAGAGTTAGTTAATTCCAGCAACAGAAGATAAATACTCTGTTACCAGTATTATCTGCTTATGAAGCGTTTTTTTGTTTTTGTTTTTGTTTTTTTGTTTCTTAACCCCTATCCTGCTGGCAACTCCCCCTGAAATGGAATTATTTCCATTTTAAAGACAAAATGAGTTGAAAAGACTTGTAGGGATTGGCTTCCCACTACAAACTTGTAGAGGCTAAAGCAGTAAACAGGGAGCCAGAATTCTATGGTCCATTCTTGGCTGTGCCATGGACGTGCTGTGTGCACATAGGCAAGTCATTTAGCCTCCCTGTGCCTCGGTTTCCCCATCTTTAAATAGGAATAATGCTTGCATATTTTTGTTATGGGGCTTAAGTAGTGTTTGTAAAGCAATTGATAATCATATGAAAGGTGCTTCCTAAAAACAAATAATGGTTACTTTTATAAATATTTAAACCCGGGGTGGCCAACCTGAGCCTGAGAAGGAGCCAGAATTTACCAATGTACATTGCCAAAGAGCCACAGTAATGCGTCAGCAGCTCTTGCTCCCAGCGCCTCCCACCCATCGGCAGCCCCGCCAATCAGTGCCTCCCCCTCTCTCCCCGCACCTCCCGATCAGCTGTTCTGTGGCATGCGGGAGGCTCTGGAGGGAAGGGGGGAGGAGCAAGGGCACGGCAGGCTCAGGGGAGGGGGCGGGGCCTGTGGCAGAGCCAGGGGTTGAGCAGTGAGCACACCTCCTCCCCCCCCAGCCCATTGGAAAGTTGGTGCCTGTAGCTCCAGCCCTGGAGTCGGTGCCTATACAAGGAGCTGCATGTGGCTCCAGAGCCACAAGTTGACCACCCCTGATTTAAACAGTCTTAAATTACTAATACATTTACATTTCAAAACCGTATAATTTTAAAAGTAGTTTTCATTCACTTACTTGCCAAGTTCTGAATTCAGTTTCTTTGGTATCTCCGGTCAGAGCTGATCCTATCGCAGCCACCTAAAACAATAGATAAAGAGATGTCAGATATCTGTAATCAGTCAGCTCTTAGAGGATGAATAACAGTTAAATTCATGTAAAACTTTTCATACCGTGTTTTTATTTGTAACAAGTCAACCTATATAATGTGTCTAATATTTAGCATATATATGGGCTTGTCTTCACTGCATTGTTAGCTTGAGCTATAAATCAAGTTTTGTAGCAACCCATTTCCCATCCACACACAAATCTCTAGTTCAAGAGATTTAAGATCCAGCTAGCTGGCCTGTGGAAGAGGGGAGATTGAAACTCAAGTACTGCTGATACTAGATAGTAATGCAATGGGGATGCACATTCACTCTATGTAGGCCAAGTGTTGTTTTGCAGTGTGATCACTTACTCCAGCGAGGCTAGTTCAAGTGGAGTAAGTCGAGTTAACTGACAACTGTTGCAATGAAGCTCATCATGCTGTACAAACCTCTAATCCTCAACTCTTCTCGGTGTTGTATTCTGTTACTGAAGAGTTCATGAACAGTTTATTTTTTAAAGCATGGTCTTCTAAGTGCTTTTTCAGCTTGGTTAGTGGCCATTTTTACCATATCCAGGAGACTGATTATTTTGTGAGGAAATGCATGTTCCATTTATATTGAACCTAACAATACATTATCTGAACATGGAATTTGGCATCAGTAGCAGACTGCATATTGATAATAGTGAATTTAAGGCATTGCAGTGATTCAATAATTATTATCAAATTGATCAAAATAATGACCCCAAGGCCATGAAAGCATCCCTAATTAGGCTGAATAAAAAGTAATTGCTGGTAATTGTTACTACTTCACTACTGTAACCATTGCTTCCAAGGAAGGAGCTCTAAATGAGCAGTGATTTTCTAGGCCGTGCCTCTCTAGAGGGAATCTCTTGCAGGTTTGATTTTATTTTACCTTTAAGGTTGCCTTAATGCCAATAAGGTATCAAAGTAAACTCTGCTTAGTGACTTTATTTATAGAACTTTAAGCTCCCTAATGGGATTTCCTAGTGGAATTGTCTCTATTCAATACCCACCATAAGCAAGGGGTAAGTGTTACCTTTGCATGTACACATCAGAAAAGTACCTCCCCTCTGCTAGCATAAACTCCCCTTGTAATCCATAATTCCCCCCCATAAATGTGTGCCATTTCCAAATTGCTAGCACAGCTGCCATGCCCCCTCCAATTTTCCTCATATTCCTCCATAGTACCTCATCCCTCCCTCCCAATCAGGTCTCCCCTACCCCATATCACAGTTCCTTCATCTTGAACCAATAAAATAGCCTTAATCCCAATTATAATTACCAATGTGTACTCCAGAACCTGTAATTTCTACATCTACCAAATTTACAACATACATAGATCACCCGTTCACATAAGTTTTCCTAAACATTACAGGAAAACCACTGGCAACCGCTGTTTGCAATCTGACACCACAACATCGCTGTATAGAAGAGTACAGAACACAGTAATATCTAACCAATACACATGGTCAGAGTTAAGGCTGCATGTCTGTTTATGATGAGGGTGGGCTGTGGTTGCAAGGGTGGTGTGGTGGAGGGGAGGTTTAGAAGGGGAACAAATGAATGGAGTGCAGATGGAGTTTTAAATGATGTAACTGCTTGGACATCATACCTAATGTAAAAAGCAAAGAACTAACAACTTTAACTCTAAATAAGCACAATTTTGTGTATGGATACTGGTTTAAACTTACACCATTTGCACTCTCAAATTGAAGCAATACTTAGATGTCACTTAGGGCCTGCCTACCTTGGGGACATTTTCTAAGTGGTTTAAAACTAGTTCTAGATACATTTGGATAAAAAAGAAGAGATCACTCAAAGAATACTAGACCTACATTCCACCTAACCCTGCCTCTTTCCCCCTCCTTATTCATGTATGCCTATTTTATTACTATTACCCCCACCCTAACATGTCTGTGTAGTGTTGTCTTACAACTTGTCAAAGGTGCAAGACCAAACTTTGTAATTCTATTAGAAACCCTGTGAAGCATGTGGTATTTGGAAACCTAGACAAGCTGTAGGTTATTTACAGTTGTGACGTTGTGCAGTCTATATGGTTTTATAAAAATATAAGTGAATGTAATGTAATTGGGATATGCTTCATGCAAAAGGTCTCTTGTAAGGTATCATTACAAAGCTCATAATCTACTGAGTGTGATCATCCTATTTGTAGAAATG